AAAACCTTTTTTTGATTGAAGGAAATAAAATCAGTTGCCTCTGTATTTTTGCTAATTCAAGGAGAATCTTTGCTTATCAAAGTGATAGCTGAAGGGATTAACTAGAGAGTGGTTTAACTGAAAGGAGTTTTGCAATCATGGTCAGAAGAAAACGGTACTATTATCAGGCTTGACATATCGGGCTATGGGCTATTGCATAATTTGAGACACAAATATGACCGAGTGGGTGAAGCTGATAATATTTACAACACTGCTTGTTTTTTTCTGCAGGACACAAAGCTTTTCTGTCTAACCTAGTTGTAAACAGGATAACTTTTTTTCTGATGACATATCCCTTGCTGTGTTTACATCTCAAAAATAGGGGTGCAGAGTTTCTGAATGCCCTTATTAGGATACTTGCATAATGGCCAAAGGCACGGAATGTTTAGTTTCAAAGACAGGGAAATGAAGGAGGCTGAATTCCTCATTTAGGAAATCAGAGTGGGAAATAAAGTAAGACAGTATTTGATCTGATGGTATTAGTTCGTCCCAGTTGCTATTTATTTAATTTATTTTTTTTTTGAGACAGAGTCTTATTTTTTTTTGAGACAGAGCCTCAAGCTGTCACCCTGGGTAGAGTGCTGTAGCATCACAGCTCACAGCAACCTCCAACTCCTGGGCTCAAGCGATTTTCCTGCCTCTACCTCCCATGTAGCTGGGACTACAGGTGCCTGCCACAATGCAGGCTATTTTTTGGTTGTAGCTGTCCTTGTCGTTTGGCAGGCCCAGGCTTTATTTGAACCTGCCAGCTCAGGTGTATGTGACTGGTGCCTTAGCTGCTTGAGCCACAGGCACTGAGCCTTGAGACAGAATCTTATTCTGTTACTCTTGCTAAAGTGTCTTGGCTTAACAGTTCACAGCAATCTGAAACTCTTGGGGACAAGCCATCCTCTTGCCTCTGCCTCCCAAGTAGCTTGAACTATAGGTGACTGCCATAGTGCCCAGCTAGTTTTTCTATTTTTAGTAGAGACAGGGTCTCCCTCTTGCTCAGGCTGGTCTTGAACTCCTGAGCTCAAGTAATCCACCAGCCTTGGCCTCCCAGAGTGCTACCATTAAAGGCATGAGCCACTACACCAAGCCCTAGTTGTTCTTTATAATAGCTAAGAGAAAGTGTAGGAAAAACGAGGTTTAACAGGACACTCATTTCCAATCCAGAGAACTAAATATTAATCCTAGAAACACCAAGTATCTGTGGCATTTAGGAAAATAAAATGTTCACTTCTCTGAGGGCCTGTTTTCCATTTTACAAAGTCTGGCTAATTCCTATTTGCAAAGCCACACATAAAAATACATTTTGAAATAAAACTTTAAAAAATAGTATAGTCCTACATTTCTAATAATGTGATTCATTCCCACCTAGAGCCTAGGGAACGTCAGAGGGATCGCAGTTTGCAAAGCAGCCACCTTCAAGTGGGGAAGCAGCTTGCAAACGTAGCCACATCAGAGAGTCGGGACACACAAAACGACAAGACAGGGCCTCCTTCCAGGAAAGCACGTCCAGGTACGAGATCACGCTCTGGAGGACTCTCAGTGACAAAACCGCGTTCAGAATAAGTGAAGTGAGGCCTCTGCGCTGCAGTGTGGCCTCAGCTTTGCAGATAGAGGAGGGGAATGGGATTCCTGCACCCTGGTTCAAGTCTGGGCTGCTTGGCCAGTCCTGGGCTAGAATCCAGGCTTCCCCACTTACAAAGCTATGTGACCTCAGCCAGCTTATTCTGATCTTCTCTGCTTAAGTTTCTCCATCTGTACAGTGAGCATAACAATGCCTAACTTGAAATGTCACCATGAGAATTAAGTTGAGAATGTATGTGAACACTTGGCCTAGTGTCTGGGCACCTATGGGCCCATAGAAAAAAGTGAATGTAAGAACATGTGTGGAAAATAAACTTTTAACTGGGTGCAGTGGCTCATGCCTGTAATCCCAAAGACATGAAGGCTGAGGCATTGCTTAAGGCCAGGAGTTTGAAACCAGCTGGACAACATAGCAAGACCCCATCTCTAAAAATAAAAACTTAAAAATTAGGCAAGTGTAGTGATGTATGCCTGTAGTTCCAGTTACTTGCCTGGGTGACAGAGTGAGCCCTTCATCTCTAAAAAAATAAAGAGCAAAAGAAAAATAAGCTTTTAGTTAATCCTGATGACTAATGATGTTTATTTCATTTTTATGTTTTACTCCAATTTTTAAACTTTCATAGTGAAACAGTGCTACTTTTCTAAAGTCAATGTTATATTTTAAAGGTCTGTGTTTATGAAATGACAGTGCCCTGGATTAAGTGTTTCTAGAAAATGCACTGGCTTGGAGGGGTCTGAGGGATCCTATATCTCCACTGTCTTGACTTCAGCTGAGGAAAGCAAGGCCCTGCACAGTGAGCTGAGTTGGGACCCAGGTTTCCAGACCAGGCCAGGACGCACACATCAGACAAAAGCAGGTCCCTGTTGCCTTCATGCTGGGGTATCAGGCGATGGCTGATGTAAGGGAGGGATAGGAAAGGTGGGATGTGAAGCAGGGGAAGAATCCAAATGACTTCAAGGATGTATGTTGGGGCTTGGCAAGATCAAGGACAGAAATGGGGCCACTAGTGAGAGAAGTAGTGTCCAGGGGAAGAATTTGGGTTTGAATATCGTCAGAATGGGCAAGCAGGTTTCACTGGGGAGCTGGTTAAAATTTAGAGCTGGAGATGTGTGTCAGGGCAAGGCCAGGAATTGGGACCTGGGAGAATATTTTCTGGAATTGAAAGATGAAGCTCTGATAATCAAACTTTTTGAATTTCTAAGTATTGACTGTAGTGGGAAATACCAAAGGGCCGAGGGATGAGCTGAAAGGGCCAGTAGGAATTAAGAAGGGGAAAAGGGAAGGCCACAGAAGAAGAGGAAGATTTGGGAAGAAATATCCAAGGGCTGGGTTTCAAGGTGCGTTTGACTGTCAGCGCCAGAAATTCAGCAAGGAGGGCAGTAAAAATAAAGCTGGAAAACAAAACTGAGGGTCTTTTGGAGTCAGCTAAAAGGAAGTCACCCATGATATAAAAAGCTGCCTGAATCCCTTGTTCAAGAAATTAGGCCAGGAAATAAAGTAAGGTATGTGATGACAGCAGAGAGAGGTGGCAGAGCTAAGCATTGAAGACGCTGTTCAAGGTGAAGGACTCTGAATACTTGAGAGCAGAGGGGAAGAGATGGAGGAGGGGAGCTAAGCTTTGGGGAAGTGGAGGATGAACTTGAGTAGAGTGATCACGGGGAAACAAGCAAGAGGTCCAGGCAAGGCTGACATCACTGGCATTTGGGAGGTGCTGCTCCCTCCTGACACTGGAATGTTTCAGGTTTTAAGAATTTTGGGGCTCGGCGCCTATAGCTCAACCGGCTAAGGCGCCAGCCACGTACACCTAAGGTGGCGGGTTCGAATCCCCAGCCCGGACCCGCCAAGCAACAATGACGGCTGCAACCAAAAAATAGCCGGGCGTTGTGGCGGGCGCCTTTGGTCCCAGCTACTTGGGAGGCGGAGGCAGGAGACTCGCTTGAGCCCTGGAATTGGAGGTTGCTGTGAGCTGTAATGCCATGGCACTCTACCCAGGGGGACAGCTTGAGGCTCTGTCTCAAAAAAAAAAAAAAAAAAGAATTTTGGAGTTTGGCCATAATATAAATGACTGCACGTCCACAAGAAAGAAAGAACACACGTATAGCGTGCCTCCTGGGTGAAGGGCTGAACTTTACCTTAGAAATGAGAACAAGGTAACCTACACATTCGTCCCCTCCTATTAATCTGAAATAAATAAATAAATACTCTCCTCACAAAAGCAAAAAATAATAATAAAGAAAATAAAGAATGTTGGAGTTAGTTTGGGGAAGTTTTAGGCTGTTAACCAGGACTTCCCCTTAGATGTATTTCTCATTTTAGAGAGGAAACAATGAATGGCAAACTGAAGGGTAGAATGTCTCCTCCTGGTGTGCTGTGGCTGGCACCTCACCCAGTACTTAGCATGCTGTCAAGTCTCCTGGCTGCGGGCTGTTCCTCCCTGGTGGACTCTCAGCTGCATGTTGAGAGCGCTTACTTGTGTCCTGGGACCCCTGTATCCCAGCAACCTGTACAGTGCCAAACGCACAGCAGGAGCCCAATGGCATTTGTTAAATGGATGGAGGAATGTGTGAATGAGTGGCCTGCCCTGCTGAAAGGCCACTTGTGTTCCTAGACACAACTCTGGATGGGCCTTATTCTCTAAAAGCAAATCAGGCACTTAAACACCATTTGGCAGATGGCCTTGAATTATTCTTGAAAGCATTTGTGGGACTTTAAACACACCCTCACCCCCGACTATCAACAAAGTCCATAAAATAATCTGTCCCTGGAATGTAGATTAGAAGCAAATTTAAAAAGAAAGTAAGGTGGTGTGCAAAATACTGACTTTCTGTAAAGATTTACTAATCATTTTCTTCTTTCCTATCTGTGAAATGGGAATAATGGTAACAGGTGTTTTGAGGAGAGTTAAGATTATAAAGCACGTATAGCAGAGTCTGATCCCTTTTTGTTAACTGCGAGTAGTATCTTGTACTTTACTTCCTTTAAAAATTAAATTTACATAATTGTAAATATGTTTTGATTGAAATGCAATTGGGTTCCCAAGTAGGCTTATGTTTTTATAGCTTCAGCATCTAAAAACCTTCCTGTGTACCAAAAGCTGATAAGCTCCCAGATCCAGGAGGCTTAGTACCTGGAATGTACTCTGTAGACATTTGCTGATTAACTGAATACTCAATTCATTACAGCTAAAAGTGGCCTCACTACCTACCCCCACACCAGCTTTCTGAGATGGTTGATCCCCCCGTGCAGACGAGCAGTCCCAGGCTCAGGAAAGCTAAGCTACTGCCTCAGGCCACCCAGGACCTGTGGACTCAAACCCAAGCTCTGTTTCTCTCTTTTATCTTGCTGTTGATTCTAATTTGGATTTCTTTCTCTCTTTGTTTTCTGTTAGGAAATGATGAGCAGAAGCCCTTGACAGGATGGTTCCTCATTGTGCTGATGGCAGCAGTCTGCTTCCTCTTGTTAATGGCCTCGCTCCTCTGTCGAATGTAGGTATCCATTACCTTCGGTCCTTCTGCTGGGCTCTGGGTATCGCATTTTTACAGTCTTGCCATGGATCTGTTAGATGGAGGGTTCTTGTTATCACATGGAATTTTGGGCAGTTTTTGTAAATTTTGGATGGCCTTTCTGAGATGAGCGTGGGCCACATCAGAAGTGGGAGGAGCCCCACCAGGTGGTTCACAGCAGCTGGACAGAGCTCGATGCGGCGCTCAGCCGCCATGCACCCTTCTTGGACTTGTTAACAGCCTCCTGACTTCCATGAAGGTTTCCAGGGATGTCCTTTTGATTCCTTCACAGCCTTCCATTCAGTACTTGGTTGATCTTTGTTCTGCTGCCAGCATGGGTCTTTTTCATCCCAGGCACGGGAAGGCTGCCCGCTGGAGGCTGAAATCCCCCCAGTGCCCCCACATTCAGCCCTCCATTAGCAGGTGCCAACCCCTTCCTTGCCCTTCAGTCACCAGGCCCCTGGGTGACTGATGGTTATTAGGTCAAACATAGAGTCTAGAAATGTCATGCAGATCTCAATGTCCTATCCTAAAACCTACAAATGGCCCATGAGTACTCCCCACTCATTTTAGCATTTGGTAAGCCAAAGCATCCTTTTGGAGGCTTAAGAACATATTCTGTCTTGGCTCTTTCATAATTTAGAAACTGACTTTGCTATTAAACAGCTTTACTCTTATATAAGTTCCAGTGGCTTCTAGGGGTTAGGGGGATGGCAGTTCAGAAGAGAGGAGCAGAAAGTAATCTGTGAGCCAGCACAGCTGAGGAAGGGATGCCTCAATCAGCATGGCAGGTAACAAGGAGGCCCCACTCGGTTGGCAAATATGGCCCGTTTTCAGAGAGCAGGGCTGGTGACCCCTGCAGACAGGAGGCAGTTTCCGTTCTGTCTTTCCTGGATGATTCAGAAACAACATCAGAGCCTTGCAGTACCCACGAGGTCTTCAGCTATTATTTTGGAAGTCTTGGTCAATAAAGATTTTGAAAATAGCATGTCCTGGAATTAACTAGGTCAATTTTTAGAGCGGCTATTTAGGGATAAAAGGATACTCACAAACTCACCTAATTCTTGTCTTTACTCTGGTTGCAGATGTCATTTATGGACCAAGTTATTTCCACCAGTTCCAGCACCAAAAAATAATATCAAAGATCTCTTTGTAAACACCTACTATGAGGTAATATTGAAAGTTCTTATGATTCACCGAGTGTGCCCAGAATCAAGTCTCCTGAGAACTGTTACTGAGTTCTTGTTTCTCTATATTATAGAGCCGGGGTTTTAGCTAAGGAGGCCGGGAGTCTTTCTATCGCTCCACTTGCTCTGTTGTTTGGCTGCTTTGCTGCATACGTTCACTACTGTCTTCCATATTGGAAAGGTCCCGCTCAGTTATGAATGTTCTTGCCAGTCAGACTGGAATTTAGTTTTATATCAACCATCTCTTAACTGACCTTGGGCAATTCCTTCAACCCTCTGAGCCCCAATTTCCTGTTGTGTATAATAAGGGGTACAGATGAGATTATACAATGTTCTGCTTAGCTCTAACATTTTAAGACTCTGTGTGACTGCATGTGAGTTGACAGAGAATTTTCAGGGGAACTTTAGATCCTTAGTATAAAAAAGCCCTAGAGAAAGCCAATGATTTTCCCAAATATGCCTTTTCTTAGTCCCCTTCACCAGTAAGAGCACTTAGACTTAGCCCAATGGTCACTTGCCTATGTCTATACAAATAGTTCCAACATCATCCTTTGAAAAAAAATATATTGGGAAAAAAATTCATCCTTTTCTCAGTGAATTGTCTTGGCAATAAGTTGTCTATTTATAGGTGGGCCTATTTCTGGAATATCTGTTTAATTTCACTGATTTATTTGTCTATCTTTATGCCAACACAATATTGTTTGATTACTGTGGCTTTATCGTAAACCTTGACACCAATTGTGTAAGGCCTCCAAAAAATGTTTTGTTTTTTCAAACTCATTTTGGTTATTGTACATTCTTTGCATTTTCAGTATAAATTTTATTTTTTATTTTTATTTTTTAGACAGAATCTCATTTTATCACCTTCAGTAGAGTGCCATAGTGTCACAGCTCACGGCAACCTCAAATTCCTGGGCTCAAGTGATCCTCTTCTCTAAGCCTCCCGAGTAGCAGGTAGCTGGGACTATAGTCGCCCAATCCCAGTGTCTGGCTATTTTTTAGAGATGAGGGTCTCACTCTTGCTCAGGCTGGTCTCAAACTCCTCAACTTAGGCAATCCTCTTGCCTCAGCCTCTCAGAGTGCTAGGATTACAGGCGTGAGCCACTGTGTCTGGCCTTGTTATAAATTTTAAAGTCAGTTTATCATTTGCTACAAGAAAAGGCAGTTAGGTTTTGAGTGAGATTGTGTTGAATTGTAGATTAATTTAGGGAGAAGCAGTGACATCTGAACAACGTATCCTTAAGTTGAATGGTTATTTAGATCAGGAGGAGTCATCAGACTTTTTCTATGAAGAGCCAAATAGTAAATATTGGAGACACAAATGGTTTCTGTCTCAACTCTTCACCTCTGCCCTTGTGGTATGAAAGTAGGCCCAGAAAATGTGCTAATGGATGAGCATGGCTGTGCTCCAACAAACTTCCTTTACAGAAACAGGCAACAAGCCAGATTTGGTCCGGGCTGTAGTTTTCCAGTCCCTGATTTAGATCAAGCAATTCTTTTTTCTTTTCTTTTCTTTTTCTTTTTTTTTGGCCAAGGCTGGGTTTGAATCCGCCACCTGGCATATGGGGCCAGAGCCCTATTCCTTTGAGCCACAGGCACTGCGCCGATCAAGCAATTTTCTTAACAAATGTTGGTCTCTCTCTAGCAAAGTAACTCATGATTGGATGAACCACGTGGTGACTGGTGGTAGGGAAAAGAAAGTGTTAATGAAAAACTCACCCACACGGTTAATTTCAATAAGCTCTGACCTTTCTTTAAGAGTTTGTTGTTTGGCGGGTGGTACTTGTGGCTCAAAAGGGTAGGGCGCTGGCCCCATATGCTGGAGGTGGCAGGTTCAAACACAGCCCTGGCCAAAAAAAAAAAAAAAAAAAAAAAAGTTTGTAGTTTGGGTGTTCGGAATGATTTATAGATGACAGTAGTTACCAACCTATGGAAGCAGAGAATTAAGGCTGGGGAAAGAATCACTCCACCCTTGGTTCAACCACTGTGTTCTTCTTATCAGAGAACAGCCCCAGCCCATCTGCTCTTGTTCACTGAGCTTTTCTGGAAGGAGAGTGGGCCCTAGTGTGAAAGTTTGTGTCAGTTCATCTGGACATGTGCTGCTCCCAGACTCACCCCCAGGGAACCACAGTTGATTTAAGCAGCAGACTTAAATCATTTGTCCTGGCTTCCTAATAGAACATCTTAATGCTGGTCTCTAATTTCCCCACAGAGCCCCCAACGGTTTCTCTTAATATTCTGAAGTTGGTGAAAAGATACTGGTTGAAGAACTTATCGTATAAGCTTGTGGTTTGTTGTTAATTAAAGTCAAGCCATGTGTGCAAAATAACTCAGGCTACACAGGCCGGTTTCAGCATAAGCAAAGGATTAATGTCAGAGCTTGGCATTGCCTGGATTCTGGATTCTCGGGACAACTTATTCTCTTCTCACATTGCAGAATTTCACATAAAAACAAACAGGAGACAGAGCGAAAGAGAGAGAGAGGAGGGAGAATGTAGAATTGGGGAGATGAAGCACTCCCTGGTGCGGTCAGCCCTGTGGGCTGAATTCTCCACCGGAAAGAATATGAGAGTGATGGCAGTGCTGACCACAGCTGGGCCACATGTGCCAGTGCCCAGCCTCTACCTCCAAAGGCAGCAAAAGAAGCTGTCCACCCCTCTCAGAGCTCCTGCCACAAGGACAAGAGGGCACACGGTGCTCTGGGCAGGGACGACTGTTTGGCTAGTGGGAAAGGAAACCCTCTTTCAATTGAAGTGACTGGCGTCCAGCTGTTCTTTATTTCTACAGTAGTAACCAGACAGTGTTCCTCCCCAAATGAAATTGCCTATACACTAATTTAAAGTGCATAGGGCAGGAACCATCTCTGTTGCCCGTCAGTGAACACCCCATGCTCAGCATCATGTGGGTGGGGAGCAGGTATTAAAATGAGCATTGGGTGTGGTGGCTCGCACCTGTAATCTCAGCACTCTGGGAGGCTGAAGGCGGGTGGATTGCTTGAGCTCAAGAGTTCGAGACCAGCCTGAGCAAGAGGGAGACCTCATCTCTACTAAAAATTGAACAACTAGCTGGGGTTGGTGGTGGGCACCTGTAGTCCCAGCTAACTGGGAGGCTGAGGCAAGAGGATGGGTTAAGCCCAAGAATTTGAGGGTGCTGTGAGCTATGATGATGCCACGGTGCTCTACCCAAGGTGACAAAGTGAGACTCTCACAAAACAAAAAGTGTGTTGGATGAGTAAGTGATAAAGAAATAGGATCTCTCATAGGCAGTTTTATTTTGTCGCCAATGATCTGATTATTATTTATAATAGCCAAAATTGAACTGAGTTGCTCAAATTTAGAGGAATATTATAGTAAACTATGGATATGATACGATGGATTTATTAAAAATGATGTAGCCAAAGCACAATGTAATTTAAAATATTAGGTGATGTTATAGAGAAATAAATCAATTTACAAAGCTGTGTATCCCTAAGACTTCATGTAAGTGACAAAGAACACTTCATTCTTATAAAAAGAGCTGAGAATTGGGGCTGTGTTTGGGAGACACGTTTATGGGTAGTTTTTTTTTTTCTTCTTCCCATTTTGTTTTCCACACTTTCTTCAGTGACCCATTTACTATTTTTTATTTTAAAAACAGACTTAAAACCACTTGTGCAGAATTCAAAGAAATGAAAATGTCTCTAAAAGCTATCTAAGGAAAGATGATTTGTTTTGCAGAAAGCTGGGTCCAGTGAAACAGAGATTGAAGTCGTAAGTTACGTGGAGGAGCCTGTGTTTGAGACCCTGGAAGATTCTGTGTTTTGATTGTCACTGTGGCATTGTCACATGGACCCACACACACATGTCTCCGTGGTAAGAAGAGCAGGGACTGATACTTCTTGGCTAAGCGGCATTCAGGATTAATTCTCAATTTAGCTGCCGGGCAATGCATCAGGAACTACCGGTCTGGTGTCTCCTTTGCTGAGGCACGCTTCCTCACATGCTCCTCGCTCCCTGCAAGGAGGGGGATTAATCTGAACATTCTGCCAGGTTTGGTCTCCCTACACTGGGCTGGGTGGCACCTCCTCACCTGCCAATCTTTGTGATGCACATGACATACCTCAGACTTTTTTGTATAAGAGACAGTTTTTAAGAGTAACGTCTGACTGCATTCACTTCTGGCAGTGCCAGTCTGGCTGCAGAAGCTGCCAGTGGTTAACGCTCAGCTAAAAGCTCAGGAAGAAAGCGTTCTGCACTCGCCTGGAGTGAATCATGAACTTGGATTCAAGACTCTCTTTCCTACAGCAAGTGGAAGTCACAAATTCGTGGTGCCTTTTTTTCAGAGTTCCGTAAGACTTTTCTTTCAAGTAGTGCGTGTATAGGAGGGAGAAAGAGAGAGAGACATTATTTCAAGTTCCGGAGGCCTGATCTCGGGAGCATGATCTGGGGCAAACTAATTTAAAAAACGAAAGAGCTAAGACACCACCTCATATTAAAAGATAGAACAGGATTTTGTTCAAAGATTATATTCTTGAAGGAAGGCTTGATATTTTGAAAGTATATTGAGAAAGGCCTTGAGTAGCATTCAATTGTGAAAGAGGTCATGGGGTCAAGAATGAACTTGGTAAGGGACATTTGCTGCTGAGCACTGCAGAGCAACTTGTTGGTCAAGTCACGTGAGGTCAATCCTAATTTCTTAAATTTGGAAGGGTTCTAGCAGGCTACCAAACAATAGACACAGAATATTCAATACATACAGAAATGCTTTCTCTCAGCATGGGAGTCTGCATCTAGATTGGAGGCCTTCGTGATGGGCAGGGGACTGCAGGTGGAACCAAGTACAGGTATGTCCTGGGCAGAGATGGCCAGGAGGAAGCTGGAAGGGACCCAAACAGTGCTTGGCCCTGGGTCAAGAAGCTAGAGTCAGGGAAAGGAGGAGGCAGTGCTCAGAACCCCACCAGGGCACACTCTATATGCTTTCTGGAGTTAGTCTAGTCAGTTTTAAGCCACCAATGGGGACACATTGACCATCATGTCTCCAGGGGTTGTTTTTTTCTGATTAACCAGCAACTATCCTCTGTGACTAGCCGAGCTGGGCCCTGGATAACAGGAACAGCAGCCGTGAAGGCTGTCAGTTACCCGTAGTTCCCCAAGAGTCAGGTGCTGCATCAGATGCTGCAGACCTTGGCTCTGACCTTGATGAGCCTGCATTGTCTCACCACAGTGATCTGTACCGCTGATCCCACTGTACAGATGCAGTCACTGAGGTGCAGAGACCACTGACCCCACTGTATGGATGCAGTCTGTGAGGGGCAGAGGGGTTGCTAGATAGGAAATGGTGTAGCAAGGAGTTGTACCGGGCCAGGTGATCCCAGCAGTGTGAAGGGGAGAGCCAGGGAAGAGCTGAAGCTAGCTTCGGGTGTGGCCTAGAAGGCAAGGTGTAGAGATGCTGATTGCCCGATTACCAGACTGAGCCTGAATCTCTGGGAATGGTGTTGACTTTAGATCAGAATCTGAGGCATCTGGAGGGCTCACTAAAACCCAGGTGAGGGTCCCGACCTCAGTCTCTGATTGAATAGGCCTGGTTGGGGTCTGAGAATTTGCATTTCTAACAAGTTCTCAGGTGATATTGATGTTGCCTGGCCCAGGACCACACTTTGAGAACTGCTGCTCTGGGCAATGCTTAGAAATATCAAAATTTAGAAACCAATTGCTGAAGGAATAAGTGAAGGAAAAGGGCCGCCAAAAAACCTGCCCGTGGGGGACTTAGGGCTCCCTGCCTGATCTCGCTCAAACCAGTGCCTGGAAATCTAGCACTGTGGAAGCCGCTTCTGCCGAGGAGGCTGGAACAGAAGAAGGGAACCTCCAAATGTGGCGAGGTCCTCACTGCTTGATGTGGTGCTCACTTCAGAGATGCCTCCCGTGACCTCAGCAGCTAGCAGTTCCCTGGGCTCTGCAGGGCTCCCTGGCCCCCTTCTCCAAGCCGGCACTGTCATCTAGCCCTGGGTGTGTCGGGAGCCACACAAAGCGCCCAGGTGGCCTCCCCAGGGGAATGTGCTCCCTTCTTGGCTTGTGGGACTCACACTCATTATTTGGGAACCTGTATCCAACGTCACATCTTCCACGAGGTCTTCTCAGTCAGAGTTGGTGGATCCTGCATCTGGGTGCTCACCCTGGGCCTCCCCATTTCGGAGCTACCTCACTGTAGGAGATGCCGTTATGGGCTGTGAGTGCCAGAAGGCCGGAGCAGCCTTATATCGACAGTGTCTATAACAGTACCTGACCTTGGAAAATATAAAGTGCTTATAGGATCCTCTCAAACCCTCTGTCAGCCCTGGCATGGCACCTGGCACATGGCTGGAACTCAACAGTATTCAGCAGAGATCATCAAGGCCGACAGGAATACCCTGGAGAATAAGTCAGGTGTCTACTGAGAGCGCAATTGGAGTCACCAGGCAACACGTCTGCCTGACCATCAGGACACTATTGCTTGGATCTTGTTTTGCTGACAATGTACCCAAGTTGTAAGGTCTAAATCGCTTTCTAAGAGGGATCAGGCTTCAGAAGCAGCTCATTAGAGCAGCTCATAGAGCTAGTCTCTATGGCTCTCACTGGTCTTGTCATGATAATTCAGAGAGTTTTAACATTCACTTAGTGGGAAACACCACTGCCAGCCAGTTGCCATAAGCTGAGTTCAGGCTATTGGCTCCTACCCCCCATGAGAAGAGGGTGGAGGGTCACCTTCCTCCTAGAGCACGGGTGTCCAACCTTTTTTTTTTTTTTTCTCTGCAGCAAGTTGGAAGAATAAGAGTTGTCTTGACCACACATTGAATACACAAACACTAAAGGTAGCTGATGAGCAAAACAAAAGGTCTGCACATACTTTTTGTGATATCCGACGCCACAGATAAGCAAAATAGTCACCAAGAAAATCAGTATAAAGAAAAAAAAAAAGAAAAGAAAATCAGTATATGGCCCATGGGCTACAGGTTGGACACCCCTCTGACCTTCCAAGCCAAGGGATCTGAACAAACATGACTCTCCAAGACATCCTTTCCAATAAGGATTTCAGCCCAAGAGAAAGGATTTCTCTTTCCTTGGCGTTTGGAATTTGCTGCACGCAGCACAGGGGAAAATGTTGGGCAGAGTGGAGGGTCAAGGTCACATTTGCCACCTGAGCCTCACTGTGATGCCTTAGGCCTCGAGCTAGGCATGCAGGCTGAAGAATCTATGTGGGCAAAGAAAATCCTGATTAAAAATCCAAACGTTTTTGTGGTGAGACTTGTATGTGTCAGGACCATCTGCTGGTGGAATTAATAAACCTTAGGTGCTAATTTGTTAAAGAAAAGTAGATATCTGGAAGTGAGAAGAGAGAACTGAAAACAATCTTTAATGGCACAAGTAAAGGTGGAAAATGTAATTAGAATAGGACCTGGTATTGGCCTAAGGATTGCTGAGACAATGACTATGTAGCTGTTCCTGCTTCGGTGTCCTAAACATCATGTTCCAGGGTATCAGCTTTTAGAAAAACCTTCTGTTCTTTCAAATTCCATATTGAACTAAAAGACAATCTTGTTTTTTTCCTCCAGTAATCCTGTTTTAGGTACTAGATGGGAATATAAATGTGCTTCAGAATGAGAAGTGTTTAACATAAATGACAGGGAATTGCCTTAAGTCTGAAAATTGTGTTTTTTTTTTTTTTGGCCGGGGCTGGGTTTGAACCTGCCACCTCTGGCATATGGGACCGGTGCCCTACCCTTTTGAGCCACAGGTGCCGCCCTTAAGTCTGAAAATTGAAGGGAGGGGTACATTTCTAATTTTTCCTCCTAAATATTCCTATTTATATTCTCTGCCCCCACTATTGTCTTTATTAGCTCTCAGCTAGGACTACTGCAGTAGCCTCTGCACTGAACTCTTGGCCTCCAGTATTTCCTCCCTTTGAAGGATCTGTAATATAAAAGGCACATCTGGTCTAAAACCCTTACATAGCTGCCCATCCCATGCCTGGGCCCCTCACAGCTTCCTGGTGCTCCCGGCCAAGGGGAGACCTCAGGCACCACCCACTTGGCTCTGGGTGTCTGTGTCACTTGTCAGGAGCAGCACTAAGCGGCCCATATGACCCATGGATATTAAAGTTCTGGTGGACTCTTTTCAACTTGAAGGTGTGTTAGGTTTGTTTCATTTATTAAAATTAGAAGCCAAGATTTGTACCTCCAGGTGAGGAAGTGAACACAAATCTGAGGTTGAAAATTGCAGGACGGCTCGGCGCCTATAGCTCAACCGGCTAAGGAGCCAGCCACGTACACCTAAGGTGGCGGGTTCGAATCCCCAGCCCGGACCCGCCAAACAACAATGACGGCTGCAACCAAAAAATAGCCAGGCGTTGTGGCGGGCGCCTGTGGTCCCAGCTACTTGGGAGGCAGAGGCAAGAGACTCGCTTGAGCCCAGGAGTTGGAGGTTGCTGTGAGCTGTAATGCCACGGCACTCTACCCAGGAGGACAGCTTGAGGCTCTGTCTCAAAAAAAAAAAAAAAAAGAAAATTGCAGGAAAGAAATTAACAATAAAGTATGGTATCATAGTTCAAAGGTCAGCAACCTTCTTAAAGGGCTAGATACTAAATATTTTCAACTTTGAGGATCATACGGTTTGTGTCGCAGCTACTCAGTTCTGCCATGATATCTTAAATGAACACACCTGTGTTCCAATATAATCTTTATTTACAAAAAATGGACAATAAGCTAGATTTGGCCAGAGGTCAGTATTTATCAGTGTATTGCTTAATGGATTAAAAATATGTGCTATTTGGATGTGCTCTTTTTCAGAAA